GGCGGGGGGCGCTCCGGGGATCCTTCCCCTGGGCTTGGGAGCGGAGACTCGAGCGGCGGCGGCGAATCTGTCGATTTTGGCTCCTGAATTCCGCACGGCGCTGCGCGCGAGGCGCCCCCGGCCCCCTTCGGGAGCGGCCCTGGGGAACAGGGACCCCGCGGGCGCCTCAGCAGCCGCGGAACCCTCAGCGCCGGCGCCTGCTGCCGCCCCGGGCACAACGCGTACGGCCGATGCGATCAGGTTAACGCCGCTTTGTGAAAGGATACGCAGCGATTTGTAGCCCACACAAGGCACACGCACAGCGACCTGATGGCTGACGGGCCGAGGCTCCTTGTCCACGCGCCCTTTGCCCTCTGTGGTTGGTCCCGGTGTGGTGTCCACGCGCGCTCCTCTGCCAAACATCTTGTTTTCCACAGTCCAGCTTCCTTATCGTTCTGCTGCGCACGCAGTTTCTCCATCCCTTGGCCTTTGCAGGTGTTCCTCACAACAGCTACTGCCCGTTGTTACAGCGAGGCCACTCGGTCTGGACCGCACATAATACGACCGTTGTTTTCCAGCCGTTCCACACAGAAGTTCCGCTAAGAACATGGAAAACTGTTCTGTTCTCAAACCAGGCTTTGCTGAGAGGAAGAAAAACCATAGGCCTTCAAGAGAATATACTGAGTGACCTGTAAAAAGTTCCCAATCACCCTGCCCAGAGGTAAAAGGTATGTAGAGGTGTCTAATCACATGGGCTCGACTACAGACAAGAGCCATGGTGATGGCAATTTAAAAAGAAGCAGATGGACCCTGATCTATCCCAGTAACTTGGGTCTGGATAATCTGGCTGTATTTTTGTTAGCACTATGCATACCCACACGTCCACGCTGTTTCAGATTGTAAAACTTCCTATATATGATCCAGCTTGATCCCCTGGCTTCTATATTGCAGGTGAAAACTTCACCTGAGTAACATACCACTCCTAGAAGGTATCATAAATCAAATGGCAGACACTACATTCCTGTGCCTGTTGGGGTTTTTTCCCACAGACAGTCACATCCAGTGTTAAAAAGGTGTTCCTCTATTTCATGATGCCTCTTTCTGTCTCCAGCCATTTGTTCATTACTGTGTCCTTGCTCTTTCTGTAAAAGCCTCTCTGTCTCATCTTTCCTCCTCATGGTAGAACTTAAAACCTATGAACAAGTTCTTTCTCAGTGTCTTTTTGATAAATGAAACGTACAACATTCTCTAGTGTCTTGCTGTGAGGTGATTTTGCCAGTCTACACGTTTTCTGGCAAATCATTCTTTGCTCTTTCCAGTTTTCCAACATTCTTTGCAGAGACGTGCTGGACCTGTGTGCAGATTTTCACTGATGCCTCTACAGAAACATTATTGCCTTGTTTCTATCAGCCCTCCTTCCATTTCTGTTTCAGAGGTTCTGTTTTCCAGGATAAGTCTGTCTAGGCTGGCTCACTTTTTTTTTGCTCCATGATGCATTAGCTTCAGCCCTGTCTTTATGAAAAATACGTTTTGCTGGAATAAGCCCAACAAGCAAACTAGCTCTCTTCCACATTGCTTTTTAATAGTCTATTTTTTGCATCAATCACAAAAGTTTATCATATTTCACATTTACTCTCAGATTAGATAAGGCTACTAGGTCCTCTGCAAAGCACTGTGAAACCCTACTAGTGATAAATCTAATAAATGGCAGTTCTCTCCAACAAGAATAATCTACTTTCCTAGATTTTCATGTAAACTAGCTCATCATCAACTTCATGTCTGCTTAACATTTGTAAAATCCCTGTTTACTTTTGTAAAACTTTTTATTTGAAACATTATGGTATAATAAAGCTTTTAACAAAACATATCTATGCAGCTATCCTCTGAACTTGTAATCTCAAAGAATAAAGTTAGCTTCCTTGGAAATAAATATTTCCTATCAAAAGACGTTAGCTGACATTATATTCTGATTACTTCTCAGCTGAATCTCTTCCATGCTTTCCTAATATTTTGCTCAAAATTTCCGTCAAGCAAACTTGTCTATAGTTATTACTTCATTTGCTCTTTGAATCCTGATGACCAAGATTCACCTTTTGTAAATCTTGGCACTAATGCCCTTCTGGTTTCACAAAATTCTGCAAGTTTTACAAAACATTTAATGCCTGCAACATATTTAATGTTTGAGACCAGTAATAATCTGGATTCATACATTTAGAATGCTTTGCATTTTTACCATATTGGCACTAAATTTGTAACATTTCTTGAAGTCAAGAGTAAAAATATCCCAGAAATCTGAGATAAATATCTTAAGCATACCAAGGAAATACATACTCTGTACCAGTAAGGACATATATTCACTTAATATTCCTGAATGTTGTTCTCTAAACGAGATTCAAATGTGCCTGCAAAGCTTGCTAAATCCATGGAATGATCTCCTGTCATGATTGGTGTCAATGTGGAGTTCATAGCAGCAATTGTGATACCATCCCTCCTCTGGGAATAATATGTAAATTGGTGGCTTTTCAGTTTATAGTATCTTTCATGTATAAACTCAGTTTTATCTGCTTGACTTTTTGAAACAACAAAAAAAATATACTAAATCTTCCTGGAGATAATGAATGGATTATCACTAATACTGTAAATTTTGGCAAAACTAAGTATCTGGAGTTAAGAGATCTCTTCAGTGGCTTCTTCAGAGAACTTTTAGTTGCAAATAATTCATAGTCAAATGAAACATATTTCTTACAGTTTATGTTGTATAACAGTCTCTTACTTTAGGATTAAACTGGTTTTTTATCCTCAGCTTATACGAGCAATCAGATTCTTGCATTTGTCACCAGTATGCAGTAATTTTTTTATAAAGAGTTTTTAGTACTGATTTCTGAATTACAAATAATTTTACCACCACCATCTAAGAACGAGCTGTTGCCATTGCTAAAATGAGACAGGCGTGGTGTTCTGCTCCTAACATTTTTTTTTTTTTTTTTAGTTTTATACCCTGGACCCCATGAAGTAATATAGCCCCTTTGTCCTCAGTTTTCATCATAGCCATTCAGATTCAGGCTGCTCTGTCCAACAGTCCCATCCAAACCCCAGCACACAGGGTTTATTTTAACCAACCTAAATGTAGTCCTTTCAGTTCAAGGCATAGCTGAGTCCTCACAACAATCATCACCTCTGTTGCAGGCACACTGGGATAATTTCCATCCTTACACTGAACAGTGCACTTGTGAGATTTGTGTAAATACGTGAGCAAAAGCTATGTCTGACAGAAAGCTGGAGAGAGCATTAAAAGCCTGTTCTCCTTAAGAGAAGGAAAAAACCAAAGAGCTGAACCTTTTTCTATGTTGGTCCCAGAGTTTTGCAGTCCCCTAATGCTCTTACTGTTTAATGCAGCCCTTTGTCCACACCCACCACCCTCCAAGATGCTGAAATCCTCTAACCTTTCTGCTTCCTACAGCCTTAAAAATTGCCTCTTCTGACATTAGAATTGAAGGCTTCTACTCCCTTCCTCACCTAACAGCTCTGCTATAACTCAAAATCCAGTTCACATGTGCCTCTGCTTAAATCTTTCCATAGATAATATTGGAAAATGTCATCTTCTTGTTTGCCATGTAACTCCTGTTCCCCTACAAATCTCACTGTTACCACTGGTTTTGGTAGCACCTTCCACCTCAAAAATTCATATATCGCTATCATTTCACCTTATACCTATTTGTTCAGCACTGCGCTGATTTATGATCAGAATTTTTTTGTGCTAAGCTCTATAAATGCCCATCAGCTTTGCTTCAGCCACAGTTTACAATCCTCCCAAGCAATGAGGTAAAACAAGTGAAGAGAAAGCAAACTTGTGGAAAAGGCAACAAGAGAAAATAGCAGCTACACAACACAGCCTAGCAAGGGAGACAATATTCTCAACATACAAACTGTTTCATCACCAGAAACAAACCAACAGTTTTCCACACTATTTTTTTTAAACTGTAATACTCCTTATTTTCTGCTTTACATATACAGCACTGCTAAGCAACTTGATATTAAATTTGCAAGCAGAACCTATAAAAAAGAAAAACAATTATGTTAGTGTGTGCTGAAAGGGACAGTTTTCTCTCTAAAGTGAATCTAAAAATAGCTCCTACATTCTCAAAATGAAAGTGGATGTTTTGCAAGTAAGGCTACAAAAATTTACCAGAAAGCCCCACTGATGAAATAATGGGAAACAAACTCAACCACATTTTTCCCAATACTGAAAGAGTAAGTGAGAGACGTAGTGGTAATGTGGTAGCTGGACAAAATTAAATTATGTCAAGGTGCAAGAAGGCAAAATAAAAATAGATTTTCTTCAATACCGTTTTATTGTTGTGGATACAGCATTATGAACTCAGTGTCTTTAAAAACAAGGTAAGTTTTTCAACTCTCAGATTTGAATGCTGAAACTACCACATGTGACTTCACGAAACCAAAGCATTGTTGTCTTTGCAATTCAGCATATACACTGATTTTTCAAAGTATGTATAGTATTTTATTGGAAGGCAAAACAGAGTAGCAACCTTTCAAACAGTATGTAACGTGTCACAACATCAGTATATTCACATGACACAGGTGATTTAGTTTTTAACATCTTTATTCACCTCTAAGTATTTCTTCTTGTTTAATTATACTCATCCTGTACATGAAATACTTATCTTCTACCACCAAAAGTGGTAGTCAGTAGACACTTGTGAGTAGTCACTGTATCACTGCATGAAAAGGTTCATGAAGAGGGCAATCCTTCTCCATCTGCCAAGCAGCAACAAGGCCTGAAGACAACTTTTGTAAAAAAGTCATGTACAGTGTTTTCTGATCACCATTCTCATATCAAACATGATTTTGTCATGACTTCTGTGATTTTTAAGAGGTGACTAAACCTATTATTATGCACAAGAACAAAGCTTTTATCTTCCAAAGTCTCTAGCAGACTGCAGCGTGTTAACGCCTAGTTTAGGAAAAAGCTGGCTGAGATGAAACCTATTAGAAACTATTTAAAGAAACTTGTTCTTTCTGATACTTCCCTCGTGGCTTTCCAACCACTGATAAAGTTCCTCTAAATAAATCATGACTGTTTTCTCTAGAGGGATACCACAGACACATGAAACTTACAGTCTCTGTGAAAGTTCCTGTGCTAAAAGAAACAAAACTTATTTACCAGTCTGCCAGCACATGCTTTTTTGGGTGTATCATCAAAACCAGAAGATGACGCTTAAAACACTAGAATTAGAGACTTTTTCAGAGGACATAACAATAATAAATTCTGTAGCTTCAGCTAATAACTACTCAGAACTGCAAAAGCATTATAGCATATAATAACATTAAAATTATTCATTTTAATATTAGTGTTAGATATTAAAAACCAGATCCAACCAAAGCATACTGAACAATTAAAAATTCATTATAGCCTAATAAATCCACATTAAACTCTTTAATAAAAATTTAGTATTTTCAAAGATCCTACCTACAGGGGAAGATAGGTTACAGCTACTGGAATTTATCTTCTGTCAGAGCTCTGAGAGCACCAACAGTCCCTAATTAATCTCATCAGGATTATCTGGGCCCTCCATCCATGCGCTGTCTGCCCCTTGGCCCAGGAACTGCATTTAAGCTCAGGCCCTCCCTGGTTATTTGTCCTCTGAGCTACCTTGTTGGTGTGTTTGAGTTTAGTCTGGTACCCTGTTGATGATTCTCAGGCCTGTCT